TGCTGAACCACCTCGGAACTTCACTTCCTGGAAATATAACTCCAAATTTAGATTGCTGAGAAGAGAGACAGAGAGAGAACAGAGCCGCGTGATCATTCACTGAAGTGTATTTATTCTCTACCATATAAGCCAGATTGTCACAGAGTCTCCGGCAATTTGATAAGTTGAGGCTCTTAATCATTTTCGATTCTTTACGTTCCAAAATGTTCCACAGTTTTGAAAATCTTTCCAGTGATATGCAACCACTGGCCCGTACATGTTTCACTTTTGGTGGAAGTTCTGGAATTTCTTCAAGCCTCTTACAACCAGCCAGGGAAAGATGCTTCAACTTGACAAATTTGCAAATGGATTCGGGAAGACTAACAAAGTTGCCTCCTGAAAGGTCTATACTTTCCAATGTGGAAAGACAACCAGGAGTACGAAGAAAATCACCCTCCAACGATATGCAACCACCTAACCCTACATGCCTTAACTTTTGTGGAAGTTCTGGAATTTCTCGAAGCCTCTTGCAATCATATAGGTTAAGTCGCGACAAGTTGAAAAATTTGCTAATGCATTCGGGAAGACTAACAAAATTGCCTCCTGAAAGGTCTAGGATTTCTAAGGTCGGTAGACAATCAAGATTACCAAGAAAAGCACTTTCTGATAAATTACATCCTCCCATATCGAGTAAACGTAGCTCTGGAAGAGCTAAATTGCCTTCACACTCATTTTCAGGCTTCATCTTATTTGGAAATGTAACAAGTTTTGGACAATCCATTAAATAAAATCGCTGCAGATGTTGCAACTCATAAATGCTGCTCGGTAGATGGCTAAGGTTTTCACAATGATATAACTCTAAGTCTTGAAGATTAACGAGATATCTAATTGATGAAGGCAACTCTTTGATGGCAGTGCCGGATAGATTCATTCTTGTTGTGCATTCCATCTTTGCCAAAATTTCGGGGAAATACTCGAGCTTTTTGCAATCATTAAGAATAATAAGTGTCAGAGATTTCAACTTGACTCCTCTTGGAAACCTAGTGAGATTAAAACAATCAACAAGTCTCAATATGGCAAGCTTATCAAGGAATCCAACAGATGAATGCACCTCAACTAAACTTGTACAGAAGTTTAGATCCAACTCCACTAAGCTTGAGAGTCCAGAGAAGTCGGGGATTTTTGTTAGGAACTCGCAACTTTGAAAACTTATATGTTTTAACGTTGCCAGACCCTGTAACATCAAAAAAATAAAAAAGAAGAAAGCGTCACATGATAAGCTTTAAAGAAATTTACAACATGCACAAACTAAACTTCTGAAAATAACAACGGATAGGTAACATTTAAAATACCTTGAATCCATTCCCCAGTTGTTCGATACGACTGTCACGCAGTTTGAGCTCAACAAGTTTCTTTGGATTAAAGCTGGAAGGCAAAGCTTTTAATGGACATTCAGGCCAATCAAGGAATCTCAAATCATTGGATAGATAACCAACTTCTCCAGAGAAGTGTGCGTTACAGTTTATGAAAAGTTGAAGATTTTTCATCTTTGTGAAGCTTTTAGCACTCAGGCGTATCTCATATGGTTCCGGCAAGTTTACCATAATTTTTTGAATAGTGTCTGTTCCCTAGTATGAAAAAGCGAGTATTGGCAAAGCAAGTTCCTTATTAAATTTATAAACATGAATCCCCAAATTCTACAATGGGATTTAAATAAAACTTACATATATATAGGTATATGTATATTCTACTTACTGTATTTTCAGTTAGAACACGGTAAACATCTTTGTGAAACCACAATCTGCTACGCTTTCCAGGCTCATTTGGCGATTCGTGACGAACTATTTCTCTACCCATTTCTTCGACCAAGTCATGCATGCAAATTCTATTTACATGATCAACATATAGGAGAGCCTTTTCTATGAGTACTTCAATACCATAGATAGGGTTGAGATCACACCCTTCTAGCATGTTTATCACATAGTTCTTACCTTTACCTTTAAAGAAACATGCAATGTCAAGGAAAACTTCTTTCACCGGATATTCTAGTGCATTGTAGCTTATTTTCAGAACTTCATGAATCTCTTCAATAGGAAATCTTGGTTGACTTTCTAACATAGTTTTCCATTGATTTAAACTTCGACCACAAAGATGTGAACCTAAAACCATAAGAGCTAACGGAAGGCCTTGGGCGTAGTCTACTACAGTTTTTGTGAGTTTCATATAATCATCCTCCGAATTGCTATTTCTTGTGAAGCCATTCCAACTGATGAAGAGCTTAAGAGCTTCAGAACTATCTAATTCCTTGACCTTGTATATAAAATTAACTTGATGAGCAGTTAGCAAATGTTTATCTCTTGTCGTTATGATAATTCGGCTGCCGAAACCAAACCAATCAAGCCCTCCTGCAAGTTTGTTCAACTGGTCCAAATGATTCACATCATCAAGAATTAAGAGAACTCTTTTATGTTTCAACCTTTCCTTTATCACATTTACTCCTCTATCAACACTGTTCAAATTCAATTCTTTTTCTCCTAGAATCTCAAGAAGAAGAATCTTTTGTAGTTGGACGAGGCCTCCATATGGCATTGGATAGTCTTTAACATTTGCTAAAAAACAGCTGGCTTCAAACTTAGAGGAAATTGAATTGAAAACAGCTTTAGCAATTGTTGTCTTACCTATTCCACCGATCCCCCATACCCCAACCATGCGAACATCATTTGCCCCAACACCTAAAAGCTTATGAATATCTTGCAGACGAGACTCTATTCCCACGGGGTACTTTGCCACATTCAAGATGTTCTGGGTTGATACTTGTACAGAAATTTCTTCAACAATGGCAACTATAAAATTAGATTCATGGCTGCAAATTTAAAAGCATATACAGTTAATGAATTGATCTTTGTTATGTGTGCGGAAACATATGCGAGTACCTTATTTATTTATTTTTATTGACACCACATATATGTCTTAACTTTCATTTTCAAATCCCTCTTCCTCATTGATAAAAAAGTATCATGTTATTGAAAATCATGAAACACATCGATGTATATATCAGAGTACATATTTTTCCACATGTAATAGTCTATACAAGAAGCAGCTCAAGTAGCCTTGGAATGGGGTCAAAAAGTAGTATAGGGGCTAGGTTCAAATCCTATTATAACCCCCCCCAAAAAAAGTATATATATATATATATATATTTGTAGAGATCAATATACAGCTTTTGGATCCTACACTTAAAACTTATCTGTTTTTATATGAAAAAGCTCAATCAGAAGATAGATAACCCCCAAATATAGACAAAAGCTAGTAAGCTATATTGTAGTAAGAAAGATACCCGTCCAAGAGCGACCACCCAGACAAATTTGCTGCTTTGGTAAGTGCTGCCCTCCATATCTTTACCTTCTCCTTGTTATCTTTGAACTTGCGTTCATGTTTGGCAAGTGCCTTTCCAAAACTACCTCTCTGGTTTCGTACATCTGATGGATCCACCTTATAAAAAATTGGCCAAACCATTTGTTGCTTCAATTCTTTACACTCGAGAATCTTAACGAGTTCATCCAAGCACCACGTTGAAGTTGCGTAGTTTTCAGAGAAAACAATGATAGAAATCCTTGACTCTTCAATAGCTTTGAGAAGTGCTGGTGATACTTCTTCTCCTCTTCTAAGCTCATAATCTATGAAGGTTTTGATACCCCTTTGAATCAAATTTCTGTGCAAATGGCCGGTAAAATTGTTGCGTGTATCCTCACCCCGAAAACTCAGAAAGACATCATATGTCCATGAGTGAGTAACATGAGAGAAAGAGGCTCCTTGAGTGGTCGTTGAATCCATAACTAAACAACACGAGTAAAGGTTTGTGTGCACGCCAGATAACTAAACAGGATGAGATGTTAGGCCTCTTTGCTCTTGCTGGGCTTCATCATATAATGCAAAGCAGCCAAGGAGTTTCCTGCTACCTTTCACAAGAATGTGAAAAGTCAACTGAATAAGATCAAGGAAAAAAGCAAACACGTAAACAATAATATAAGCCAAGGGCCGTTTACCAATTCAGCAGCAGACGTGGTAGTTGGGGGTGTTGAATAGTTGAAAAAGACCTTCCCTGAGCAGACCTGAAATCTAAAAGAAAAAAAATTGAAGATATGAGAAAAAAAGAAGTCAAAATTGATCAGTTTTCTTCTTATTTGTGGTGGATGTTACCATGGCAGATCTAGCAAAGAAAAAAGAACAGAGAATATTTAGTGTCCTCATCGCAGAATTAATGTAAAATGGGCTGATTAAATTTATTATTGACGTGCTATGTGGATAGAAATTTCTGAATGTTTATAACTGGGACTAGTCATCAACACTATGTATTAGCACATGGTTATGGATGAAAGTTATAAGATACTTAAACAATAAATACTGAAATTGGATAATGCGTTGCCATAAAGGGAAACATAGGTAAGGAAAATATCTCTGTGATGTTAATTGATCAATAAGTTACTTGAAATCAGGGTATAGCAATTTCATTTCCAATACTTAGTCTTGACAGAGTTTTAAAAGGCAAGACTTAGGGGTGCCTTGAGGCTCAAGTAGGGGCCAGGCGGTGATTAAGAATCTCGCCTATAGCTCTTATCTTATACTCTCATGAAATTTTAGTTCTCACTTTTATTAATGGAAGATGGTATATATGTTACCCACCTTATTTCTTTCTGTGCTTACTGTAATTAGTTGTTAATCTTAGATAGTACTGTTTACATTTCAACTGTTGGAATGTGTTGAAATGTTAGCACAGAAACCTTGTGCAAGAGACTCAATTTTCATTGTTGTAGAAAGGACCTGATGCAGCGCAGAAACACAAGTTTGCGGATCGACAAATGTCCCAAAAAGATAAATTGAAATCCATCAACAACTAGAATCTACCAGAAAATAGAGAAAATCTCTATCCTTAATTAATAATATGATAAAACTGATTAAGAGAATGCCATGAGTTGGCTTAAATAGAAAACCAAGAAATCCTAAAACAGTAGGAAACCCTAAGTCCTAGAATATTCATAGAACTTAACTAATAAGAAAACTAATTAAATTCATGTCAGGAAAATAATATCCTGATTGATAACTTATCCTAAAAAAATATATAAATATACTTTAAATCTTCTCAAGAAATCAAGCAACCTAAAAATCCCAATGATACGCGTTGAAGCTCTGTTTTTGTCTAGTAGTAACTGGTGTCGGCCACCATGGGATCACAAATGGGTAGACAGCTCTCCCACGGTGATTCTGAATTGTACCATAATTAAGCGGAGTGTTCAAATAACGCATTATCCATCCTTCACCGTTAATGTTGAACATGACAACGTGTCCAATAAAATCTACATACAAGATATCATCATCATTTGGGTCGAAAGCAAGCAACATTATCTCATCGTGCCAGCAGCCCTGATCTCTCCATTTCCTGATCACTGGATTTTGTGAAAACATCCCGTTCAGGGAAATTCTGCGTACTAAAAGCCAATTGCTATCGTTATCAACCTGATCATCTTTCAACTCCCAAACACTCAGCTGATCCACGACTCCATCGTCATTATTTCCGCTGAACTGGCACATTCGCAGACGCTCTCCTCCTCCTCCAACTCTACACACACTTAGGAGATCAAATGTTGCAGTGACAGGGACCTGATCATCTTCAGGCTTATCAATGAAACGACAATTATATTTTTTATCAACATTGATGTTTGAATAGGGATCCAAACCAATAATAGAGCCAGCACTACTGCTCATCCAGTACAGCATTCCATTGTAAGCAACGCCTTCATGTCTTATATCCAGATAGAAGTTTCTTGGGCATAACAAAATTGTTTCTGTCCATTTACCAGTCTCAGAAGAGAAAATCTCTGCTTTGAATTGGACGGAACCCCCTGGAAATTCAGGAATTATACGCACAACCCTGTACCTATACTCAGTATTAAGCTGGAATGATGCTTTACTAGTACTAGTTTCTTCTTTTCTTTGGTCAGCATCTTCCTTGCATTCCTTATAGTAGGGATCACAGATGAATCCAACACCTACTTCCTCGCGGCATTGAGGAGGAGAAGGAAGAGCTTCCCACTGCTTGGTGTATGCATTGCAAAGGTAGTAATCACGTTGAAAACGCATGGTTGCACAACATAAAACTAAGTCGTTATATGTTCCTACCACCATTGGTTCACCCTCTTCTGTCTTGACAGGCCCTTGAAAACAAGGGAGGCATCTCAAAGAGAACTTGAGTTTTTCGGGCTCTGGAGGCTGCTTGGACATGGAAAAGAACTTGCTTGTGCACTTTGGATTTGTGAAGAATTCTCTTCTGTGCTCTGGATTTGTGAAGATTAGTCTAGGGCGTGGAATGGGCGTTTGGTTATCATTTTGTTGACGTAGAAATCGGCCAAGAAAATAAGGATTATAAACGAGACTATACCAACGTTTCGACACACACGTGCATTGAACTGCATATTCACGGGGGAGTCGACAAAGGATTTCAACCAATACGAAATCAGGGAGATCATCAAGATTGAACATGGTGGTGGGTTTTGATATATAAGTTTCAATGGCGATGTTCTTTTTTAATCTTTGTAAGTGTGACTCGCAGAGTTGTCCAAGAGATTGAGATATATTGTAGTGTTGAAGCTTCGTTTTCTGTTGGTAGAAGTAGTATCACCAGGTCTCGTGGTGAAATTAAGATGGACGGATTGATGGGCAGATCGATTGCAGAGAGATTTTGGGAGTTGGGAAGTGCGTATGTCTTGAGCGTTTTGGAGACTTTGGGGTAAAGCTACAGAATCTTTATGTAGTGTATGTACTTACGAATCCCAATACAAGTGAAATAAGATATCCCAACCCAATACAAAAAGAAATAGGAAAGGAATACAAAAAGAAATAGGAAAGGAATGCAAAAAGAAAGGAAAATTTGCATAAATGACATATGAACTTTTAGGTTTGTGCGTTAATATCACTCGAACTTTTAATTTTTATTTTAACCACTTGAACTTTATAAAATGTTGCAATCTACCACCTATGCCTAACTCCGTTAAAGCTTCCATTAAATTTAAAGGCATTTTTGTCAATTTACTCTAACTAAAAATAATTATAAAAATAAAAAAGTTAACCTGATTACACAGCAGCTTCGGGGAAAAAAAAAAAAAAAAAAAACCTAATTACACTCATCGAGGCAACCATGAATGAGAATGCTATGGCTATGGCTATGCACCTAAATTAAAATTAAATTCCTAAAATTAAATATAATATAAATGGTATATATCACAGGTGGTTTAAATGATGGGTTTCTGATTTTTTTTTTTCCTAGAGTTTGTATGAAAAGATAAAAATCAGTTTTGAATCTTTAGAATTGGCGTTGGAGAAGGGTAGGGCTAAGGAAGGTGTAGTGCAATTAGTTTAATTTTTATTTATTTCTAAATTAATGTTTTTTATAATTATCTTTAGTCATAGTAAGTTGATAGTAAGTGTGATATATCCATCCATGTTAAAGACTTCATCTTTTCCACAATTTCAGGGAAATTCTCAAGCTTTCGACAGCCACTAAGATAGATAGATTCAAGAGATTTCAAGTCAATACTTCTGAGAAGTATCGTAAGGTTACAACATCCTTTGAGACTCAAGCGAATGAGCTTTTGGAGGAATCCAACAGAAGGATCAACATGAACTAAACTTGTGCAGCCATCTAGGTTCAAGAACTCTAAATTTGGAATTCCATAGAAATTTGAGGTTTTTGTTAGGAACTGGCAGTTCTCCAAATTTATAGATTTCAGATTTTGCAACCTCTACAAAGCAAAAAGGACCAATAAAAGGATCAAACAATAAGCATTGGTGAAACTTAAACCATAATTTTACGAAAAATAAAAATAAAAATATCTTGAAAGGTACCAATGGTATGAACAAATTTAAGCCATAAATCCCAAATATTAATAAACTCTTGAAAATACCAGGGGATTAAAATAATTTGAATTACCTTGAGTCCTTCTCCAAGTTGTGACAACCGGCTACACGGCATATAAAGTTCAACAAGTTTCCCTGGGTTGAAAGTAGATGGCAAAACTTGTAAAGGACATTCAGGCCAATGAAGGAACCTCAACTCATTAGAGAGATAATCCACGTGATCACCAGAAAATCATGCATTAACATTGACGAAAAGTCGAAGGTTTTTCATCTTTGAGAAGCTATCATCACTCAAGCACATGTCATATGGTGTCGGAAACTTTGCTATGATGCCTTGAACATTATTTGTTCCCTATTATGAGAAAGCAATAGTGTTAACAAACAAAGCTCTTTAGCAAATAAAAATTCAAGTGTACACACACACACACACGCACTTACTGTTCTTTCTATTAAAACACGATAAACATCCTCATGAAACCACACTCTGCTACGTTCACCTGGCTCATTTGGCGACTCTTGATGAACTATACCTCTACCCAATTCTTCTAGCAAGTCATGCATCCAAATTTTGTTTTGTTCAATATATATGAGGGCCTTTTCTACAAGTACTTCAATTGCATACTTAGAGGTCACAACCTTCCAGGATCGATATCACATGGTTCATATCTTTGCCTTTGAAGAAACATATTATGTCTAGGAAAACTTCTTTCACCAAACCTTCCAGCGCATCATAGCTTATTTTGAGAGTTTTTTGAATGTCTGAGTGAAGAACACCATCCAATGCATCAGGCCACACATCTATACTTCTACCACATAGATGTGAACCTAAAACCTTGAGAGCTAATGGAAGACCTCCAGCATAGTCCACCACAAATTCTGCAAGTTCCACATAATCATCATCTAAATTTCTATTTCTTGTAAAACCATTCCAACTAAAGAAGAGATCAAGAGAT